ATATAAGTATTATGTGCAAGTATAAATATACTAGTAGAAGTATACGTGACAAATTGGACACATATGGTGCTGGAGAGTTTACAAACATTGTGTTTCTGCATGAATATAGCCTAAAAATCAGATCTGTGGCCAAAAATGGAAGCACTTAAAAAATAAAAACTACGACAAATTAAGCTAAATGTTGCTTTTAGAAATAAAAGTGGTCAATTATGGTAAAATCTTTTGATCTGAGAGTAACTTTTAAAAGAGACATGGCTTTCTAAGGAGAATATAGCTGCTCAGTTTGCTGCAGATCACCTAAACATTTAGAAGTCTATTGAAAAATAGACTAGATAAATTATAACACTGCATTGGCTTTCCAATCTGTAAAAGCACCACTATAACGTGTCGACTCATTTAAATACTTCACCTTAAAACCATTTATAAGCAATACTTTAATTTTGTTTTCACCCTTCTCTCACACAGAAATAAGGCACAGTGCACAATAAATTCTCTTCTACCTTGCATCAAGTTTGACCTTTGCCACCAGCTTTCTTCATCATTCACTGATGTGATTTTTTTCAGTTTCTTCTCATGTCTGCATGAGCTTTGTCCGCAGCATGGTGTAATTAAGCCTCTAAAGTGGCGGATTGCTTCAGAGTACATGTACTTTTGCCAAAAAAAAAAAAAAAGGGCAACACAAAAATACTGAGCAGCAATTTGGGATAATCTCCCCAGACATCCTCTAAAACCAAACTATCAGTTTTGACATTATACAGGAGTTTAATCTGGGCATAAATCTATAAATCTCATAACACAAGCTGGGATAATCTCCTTCTGGCAGTTTTTCCAGGGGCTGAAAAAGTGCAGACTGCTGTCAGACGCTCAGAGGTCAGAGCGAGGCTGTCATATGTTGAAGAGTGGCACTCTCTCACCAGAGCCATGCATATGAATCACATAATCTTGTCACAAACCTCCCTTTAAAAAATAACTCACTAGTCTGTCAGCTGAGCTCATGTGCAACATGTGCATTTAGTCAAATGTTTTCTAATAATGCTATAAAAGTCATATACTTTGAACATTTGGACATTGTGGCAAAGAACAATACGTCTAATTATCTTCATGTAGTCCATATTTCCTCTCCTGTGGTTCGGTCACACACAAGTTGCAGATTTTGTTCACGTCCCAGAAGAAATCCAGCTGTGAGGCACGCATGGTTCATATAGGACTGGTGGGGGAGAGAGAAACCTTTGGGACCTTGACCACAAAAACCATGGGGTCCTTGACCTTGTTGCTGAAGGAGCGGCGAATGACATCCACAGCGTGTTGATGACTGACTCCCTGCAGACTCTCACCGTCCACGGACAACAGCTCAAAGCCAGCCTGCAGACGGACAGCAACATAAAGATGTAAATTCAACTAAAAAAAAAAAAGAATTTAATGATAATCTGCTGTGATTAGAGAACTGGGGGGTTTCCTCTAATATGTGCTGGCATGAGTTCACATATAAAGGTCAGAGAACATACGAGACACCTGCACAGGCACACATGCAGAGCTTTCTGTTTCCTGCAGGATCTGAGCAAACAATCTCAAATCTTTGGAGCCCCGATGAGAGGAACTTCCTCTGATGTCATCGGCGCTTTTGTCGAGGATGCACCTGCCTCGTGCGCTCAGTATCAGTCAAGGTTAGCAGCATATGAACACATATGCGCATGTTGTATCTCCAGCAATCTGGTCTTTTTCCCCCTTCCTTTTTCCTCTCCAGTCATTACATACGATCATTTCCCCTCATTCTTCACCTGCATATTCAATCAAAATGTGGTTCATTCCCAACAAAGATCATGATCTAAGCTTAGCATGAAAAAAAACAATTTAACAAAAAAAAACAAGCTTGCTTACAAGTATTATTTAGTAGAGGAAAAACAATTATGTAAAATGCCTATCAGTTGTTTACAGCACAGTTTTATCTGCTTCATTTAAAAATAATGTACAAATATTACAGTTTTAGTTGCCAAGATATGCTTGTTCCCCCATAGCCCTACAACTTGCACTAATTTGAAGAATAAAAAGCTCTTTTTATGCCCTGAGTTTGATCAAAATACAGAACCATAATGAACGTGAACAGTTTGACACTAGTTTAGCTGGAAAGAGTGCAGAAGTTTTCACCGTTAGACAGACACCTAAATGGAAAATGACTCACTCGTGTCCAGTTTTCCATCTGTGAAAGCTATTGACAGGGACTCATGGAAAGGAATGACTGGACACACACACACACGCGCAACAATAATCAGAAGCTAAGAGCCTAAGGAGACAGGAGTCGTGTTGACGCTGCTCTGGCCGGGTGTCATGTCCGCCTGCAGAGCAGCAGCAGACAGAACTGACCACAGATCTGATATGAGTGAGCTGACATGTCTAGTTGTGAGGTGTGAGGCTGAAACAACAGATAACAGCAGCATGCCAGCAAGAACAAATATGTGTCCGAGCCAAGAAGCCAGCAACCCCTCTGTTAGTAAAAAAGACTGAAATGAGATTTATTAGAAGTAAACATGCACACTTCTTTGCTTCTTTAACTAGCAGCAGTCTCTTTGACAGGCTGATAATTAGCCTCTAGTGAATGACTGGGTGGATCATATGTTTAAAAAGAAGCAGGCAGCAGTCATCAGCAGCTATTAAGCAACTGTGCAGGCAATATATTACCAATACATTAGCAGCACAGCGCCCTTGTACCTTATTAATAATGGAGCTGATGCGCTACCTGAGACGGCTCTCTGCTCGTCTTCTCCTCACCCCTAGGTGCACAGCTTCAGCATCTCCTCAGACGTGCTCTCATACACCAACATCAACTCATATCCACGAGGCAAAGATCACCTGACAGCTACGTTCAACACACCTGACCTGACACGAGCGACTGCGTTTATGGTAGAAATATGAAACTAGATTATTTATTCTCATCTAAATTAAACCCATGTCAGGATCTTTTTTTTTTTTAAGGGAGGGTCAAGGGGGTTGAATGCTCACCTTCAGAGCTTTGTTTGTTGACGCTGCTCCACCTGGGAAGATTTTTTCTATCTTTATCACAGGCTGGATCTTAGACTCTATCCCTCCAGAGATGCTTATACCTGTAAAAAACAAACATAAATATATTAATAAATGAATAAATAGTTTTAAATTGCTTGCATTTGGACAAAGTAGTGAATGGGCTCTTGACCTAAGCAGGACATCGTGTTTTGGCTCAAGCCTCGTTTAGGTCGTATTTATGCAATAAATTAAAATTTGCTTATGTTTATGATGAGTTTCTCTCACACATCTGAGTTAGTCACCAAGATCTGCAGAGTTCTGTACTTTTACTTTATACTGTAAATATGTGGTAAATCTTCTGACCCATAAAACACCAGTGGCACAGGCTCATCACCTCATTAAAGTATAGACTTTGTTAATAACATTATTAAAGAGCTTAGTGCCAACACAAACAACCTCAACAACTGCAATACTACTTATATTAATTTATGACTATTAGATTTATTGTTTGTAATAATGGTAAAAAAAAAAAAAAAAGAGGAAATTGTTAGCAATATTTTTTTTTACATATACCAGTAATTTAGTTTCTGGAGATTAACTGAGGATGTGCAGCTTGGTTAATGACCCCACAGGGGTCTCAAGCCCAATTTAAGAAATATAATCTGACATATCAAACTAGATATAGATGGCACTTGACTATAAATACCCATGAAGCCAGAGGAAACAAATCACTTGATACAATAATCTCACCTACATAAAGACTCTGTTTTAGCATCTTGCTGTTAAACTCAGACCTGCAGCAGTTAACAGTATAATCACTCAGGATGTGATTAAACTTGTCTTTCAGTTATATCGTTAAGAACTTGTTCTTTTTTACGTAAATGTGCCGTTTAGCTCAAACAGTAAAATGTTTCTAAAGCTCCCATTCGCCTATATTTCTAAATTTAGAAACATTTAGTCTCAGACTGATGCAAAACAACTAGATAATTTTATTTTTATTTCAAAATTAAATGCTTTTGCCAACTAACACTCAGTCTCAAAACACACTTTAAAAACCCTGGGATTTAACAGGACAGATTACATTTCTTTAATTTTACCATCAGCTCCTCTGTTCAGAATAGAGCTTCAAACTTTTCTCCTTTCACTGCAAGTCTTAAATAACTAAAGGTTTCGTCATATCTTAGAGAGCTCTTAGTGAAGTATTACCTCAACAAAGCGCTCTGCTCTCAGGCTGTGGGTTTACTTGTGCTTTCTAGAGTTTCTAAAAGTAGAATGGGGCCAGAACCTGCAGCTATCAGATTTCTCTTCTGTTTCTTCTGCAGACACGCTCTCTAAACTTTCTTGTTTAAAAACAAAACTGGTGACGTCATAGCGGTTCATAGTCTACCTACAAGCGTGCCAAACGTGTTCCCAGATTAAAAGGTAATTTAAACTTTGCCACTATGATGATATTTAAATGAATGCAGCTACTTGTGTTTACCCAGTGAATGCTTGGCCTTGGAGATGGTCAGAGTAGTGACTTCATATGCTTCAGGCAGTAGAGTTTCTCTCCTGTTGACTTTCTGATCATTCTGAGGAAGACCGTTTACCTGCTGACCACTCGTTCTGCCCGTGGAGGGGCTCCTCTCCCTCTGGGGGTGAAAAACATCTGCCAGAGGGATTCTCCCTCTGCGCTGTGAGGGAACCCGCACACTGACCTCAGTGTAGCCCTCCTGCCTGGTTTGTCGGCCATAAACACTGTCGGGACTCCCCTCCCTCCTCCCTCTCCCGTGACCATTCCTCACAGGTGACCTCCCACGCTCATGAAGGGCGTCTCCACGGTCAGACACGGACAGCAAGGAGACTTGGTCGTGCCGCGGCGTCCCGTTCTCCCTTCTGTTCGGGGAGAGGTGATGCTGGTGCCCACGCTGCGTGCTGTGTGGCGACTCTGTCAGGAGGAAACTGTGGGAGGGCGAGGGGATAGGGGAGCGTGAGCGAGAAGTGAAGGATGTGTAGTTGTCCACAGGTACATCCAGCAGGGGGGTGAAGGCACGGGACGGTGGCAGGTGGCCTGACTGCTGGCTGGCCAAACGAAGTCTGTCGAGCTCATCGATCAGCTGACGCTCTTGCAGAGTGTTGCTGACCGGCTGGAGGTAAAAGCCACCCCTGGAGTCTGAACAAACAGAGTTAAAGTCACATTCAGGAAGTTTTTAATCTCCTGATGACTTATTGTAGCTTTTATCGATATTCATCTTATTTACATACGAAGGTGTGCACATTTTCTTTCTACCAAAGAGCATATATGCACAAAAACAATATAACATTCTGCATAAATTAGATTCATTTAAACTATATTTGGCTGGACACAATCCTAAATTACTCCATGAAAAGTGCCTTGAGATGTTTCTTTCTTCATCCATCCATCCATCCATCCATCCATCCATTAGCTTTATCCACTTCTTCCTTTTCGGGCCGTGGGGGTCACTGGTGCCCATATCCAGCCTACACTGTGTGAGAGGCGGGGCACACTCTGGACAAGTCACAAGTCCATCACAGGGACACATGGAGACAAACAACCATTCACTCTCTCACTCACACCTAGAGACAATTTAGTTACCAATCAACCTAACATGCATGTTTCTGGTTTGTGGAAGGAAACCGGAGTACCTGGAGAAAACTCACGCATGCACGGAGAGAACATGCAAACTCCACCCAGAAAGCCCCCCGGACTGGGATTCCATCCAACAACCTGCTCACTGAGAGGCAGCAGCTCTATCAACTGCACCACCGTGTTTCTTTCTTTCTCTCTTGTGGAACCAACTTCCAGTTTCTGTCCGTGAGGCTGACACATTGTCCAGTTTTAAGACTGGGCTTAAGACTTTCCTTTTTGATAAATCCTATAGTTAGGGTTGTCTTGTTAAGCTGACATAGGCACTGGAGGACAAATTGACCTAATTTCCTTAAATGAATTTTTAAAATTGAATAGTTTTCATTTGATACATTTCTATCTTAACATGTGATTCTTGACCTGCCATTGTGTATCTGTTCCTCTCAAACCCAGCCGGTCGAAGCAGATGACCACTTGTCCCGAGTCTGGTTCTGTTAAAGGTTTCTTCCTCATGAGGAAGTTTTTCCTTTCCACTGTCGCCTTCATGCTTGCTCAAAATGAGAATTATGGGATGAAGTTAAAATCAAAGCAGTCTGCTCCTCAGGTAAATATTGTTAAAATTATTATTTTTGTGTATGGATGTTTCTGTTCAGTGCCCTGAGATGACTTCTGTTGTGACTTGGTGCTTTATAAATAAACTGAATTGAATTGAATTGGTAATTAGAATTGTAAAAATAAAGCTGAACAAAAACAACATACTGAATTAAATTGTGTATGATGTGTTTTAGAACTTTCATTTTTTGTGTGACATTCACCTTTCTTCAGTGATGAGCTCAAACCTCTTATTTACACATTGTCACTCACCTGCAGGGGGCAGTGCAAGTTGGCTGTGGCCTATTTCTGGAAGTTTTCCTCAACACCAATAAACAATAATTTTGTTGAAACGTATCATTGGGTGTCCCTGATTTATAAATATTGCATCTGCATTGCTAAAAGCTAAGCATCCAGGGAAGAAATTCGTGTGTAGAACACAAACAATACTTTGTCTTCTTTCATAAGGCTGATGCTCTGACCTTTGACTTGCACAGTCTAAAGCGAGCCGACACTAATTGCGTCTCTTGAATGAAGCAAACACTTGAAGCATCTTTGTCTTCAGGTGTCACGTGAGCAAGTGCAGCCTGTTGGTCCTTTCTGTAGGCCACAGAGGTAGCACAAGCTTCTGCTTTAACTCAGCTACAGGAAACCGGAGACAGTGAAAGCATAAAGGTGTGTTATCGATGTTTTGTAGGTTATTGGGAGCTGAGTTAGCGTTTGTTAACGGTAGGTCGAGGACAGGAAGTGACCTGTGTTTGTATGTGTTTCAGTTCGACAACAAGAGAAATAGAGGGAAAAAATTAGGTTTTTGAGAAAAGAGAAGGAGAGGAAGTGATACAGATCACATACCTGGGACTGGGGTGATGAGGTGACGTCGAGGGGTTCCACTACGAGGCGAGCGCAGGGCCGGAGAGCGCACTGGAGGAGGAGGAAATAAAGATACCTGAGTTTTTTCGACTTTACATTTTGTTCTTGATTCTTTTAGTCACACAAATAAATTGCAAGCTGGAGCTAACACGAAAGTTAAAGTGGTGAGGTTTGCTTTTTTGCTTACAAGAGCGACTCTTGAGGATGTCGTACGCCTCCAGCTCAAAAGGCATCACCATGCTGTCAAAACGACCCAACTCTGTGGTCGGTATCAGCATTCTGCAATGGACAGGATCACATTCTGTCACCCCGTACATATACAATGCATGTACAGTATAAAGGAGGATTACACTATATTCTTTTTACCGTATTTCTCTGAGAAGTAGCAGCTTCTCTGGCCGATCCAGGATTGCCAGAAGGGGACGCACCAAATCCTCAATCGCTGTGTCAGATAAAAACTGCAAGAAAACATTTTGAACGGTGTTCAAATCAGAAAATAGGAAGACGACTCGGAGAGAACATCGTTGACTTCAGTTCACACAAAACAGGGAGCACATCAGGTCAAAAAAACTCCTATTTTATCGTTTGGAAATTATTTTTAAACGCATCACTATATTTTTCTTGAGCATGCAGTTTTATTTTTATTTTTTAATCTAAGCTTCAATTTTACTAAATAAAATCCTCTATGCTGAAGTACAAAATGGCTCAAATAGAATTAGATTTTGTGGTTTGATCCTAGTTTGAAATGACAGGCCAAGCCCGTGTTTTGTCACAGCTGTTGTGAGACCCCTCCATCACTAAGGGACGAGCCACAACACAGAGAACACTGAACACTCGAGAACAGCTGATGTTACAGGACATTCACTGCGAGGCTCAACACAACAAAGGTAGAGTCATATCCGATCAACAACTCACCCGTCGACAGTGTCTCATCACTGCAGCCGCCTCATCTGGACTGAGCAGCTTCTTTGTCATGTCCTCCACGTGCTGCAGAATGGCATGATGGGGCAGTGGGCTGCCGGCGCGGGATTCCTTCGGAGAGGAGAAGAGCTGGAAGGGACGACTTCGCTCCTTATCTAGGAATTAGGTTCACAAACTAAAATAAGATGCAGACATGGAAATCTGCAGTGGTGAGTGGTTTAATCCATCACATCCTCAACCCACAACAATCAAACATTCACATAAGATTTGTATTTTTATCCCTAATAGGCCACTGTATTGACTTTCTGCAGCCTAACCCTGACCATAACCGTTGACCTAACCTTTACTATTATATAACTAATCCTAATCTTAACTCATTTTACGCCTTAGCTATAAACCTAACTAATAACCCAAATATCACGTTCCACCAGTGGTGGACACAGTTTCACTAATTCACTAACAGCTAATAGTGGAACAATTTTTTTTTGTTTAGCGGATTAACGTTCGTGTTAACTTTGGAAAACGTTAGCGGAATAAGTTTCCGATAAATTAAGTTTTGCCAACTTTAAGTCCACTAACAAAATTCACAACCTTGTTCTTGTCTGTTGTGGGCGGGGCTAGAAGAGTTGGTTAGGCAAGCTATTAGCTTACTACATGTACTACGTGTACTACGTGTACTACGTGTACTACGTGTACACGTGACAAGACGTGCTTGGTCGACGCAGCTTCAACTGGAAGAAGACGAAGATGTGTGATGTAAACTCAGTGACAGTCACCTAATCAGTTTAGTGTTAGCTTCTGCAATTTTAATTTTTTTTGGACCTGTTTAGCGGTTTAGCGTTAGCAAAGTTAATTTTTATATGGGTTAGGGAAGTTAACTTTTGGTTAGCTGTGCCCACCACTGCGTTCCACAGTATTAGGACGGGCTTTGGTCCTTTTAAGGAGTACTGGTCACACATATACAATATAAACATACAATGATGACAATACATAACACATTATTATTATTATCATCTAATCAATGAGCTCATATTGCCTTTTTATTGAAGACTTTAAATGAACTTTGTTTCGTCTGATTCAGTTTGCGCCACTCGACTGTCACCTGCTCCATTAATTACTTCTTGTTGATAAAAAAGATGCATTTAATTCTCATGCTAATGCAACGATGAACTAATGGTCGTAAACATAAACGAAATGTATATTTATATATAAATACAGTATATATAAATATACAATATATATTCGTATATAAATATATATGCAAACGAACGTACAGTAAAAATAGAACCTTGTAAATCTGTGGCACCCCAGACACTTCTTGTATGTATATTTACATGTACATGTGTATATACATGTATATGTATGCTTAGGTGTGTATGTATGTATACATTTATATACTGTATATGTATGTATATGTGTGTATATGTATACATATGCATATAGGTATATGTAGACACATATATTTTTCCAAATGTGTGTATTCTGCTTCTTTTTTGATTATTTCATATGTGTGTTTTTTTCTGTATTATTAGAACATGCTACTGGATGCCTCAAATTCCACCCCGGGGGATTAATAAAGTATCCATCCATCCATCCAGAAAAATTTAGGAGCCCCACTATGCTTATCCTCACAGCTTCTGTAAGGCCAGTAGAAACTCCAAAAAGCATGAAACTCCTAAAAATACATTTTAATAATTTAAATGTGGGTTGATTTGTACGTGGCAGTGGTTCAAGAATAAAATACTACCTACATGTTCTGTTTGTTTTGTGCTCAAAAGGTCAAATTAAATATCAGACTTTTATTTTGTCTCGTGATAATAAAAGAAGTGACAGCGTACGCACCGTTGTTGGAGTGGAGAGTCGACGACTTCGACTGACTCTTCTCCTTCTTGAAGAACAAGTTGACGAAGGTTTTGGAGCGCTGCAGGTTTGTTGGACCTTCTGCTGGTCCCTTCTCCTTCTGTTGTCTCTTATTCTTCTTTCTGTCCTCTAAAATGGTAAATAAATAAAGACGGAGAAGTCTCTAAATTAAAATGAAAATACAGCATGTGGTCCATTCAGATGAATTTGATATGTTAAAATAAGTACAAACTGAGCCGACGGGCCATTTTGCTGCAGCCCTTGAACATGCAGTGGATTGATGTTTAGAACATAATTCATTAGCTGCACATTCATAATTCATGCTAAACTTTTAGCCAGTGATGTGGGGTTAAACACAAACTCTTCATTTATCTTCCAGTCTGCTCCTCTGTTCAATGAAGTAAATCTGCTGGTGTACAAAGAAACACATTTAAACTGATAAAGTGCAGCTACACCAATCTGAACTCCCTCCACCTCCCCCATTTGTTGAGACCACTACAGCAAAGTGCTTCTGCATATAAAGCAAATATGCAATTGGCACAAGCACCCACCGAGTCCTGGGGGCGTGGGCGAGCTGGATACAGTGAAAGGCTAATAACTCAACTGATCCTGCAAAGCTTGGACAAATATTTATCAGTATTTGTGTAATAAAAAAAATTCTCACAGAAACAACGTCAACAAAAGAATTTAAGAGAAAATTATTCATTTGACTTTGCATTAGCTGTGTGAAACTGAACAAATTATTGTTAAATCCATCAAATCAGGCATGTTTATTTTCTGGAATGAAGAAGAAATGAAGGTTAAAGAGGAGACTTTCTTACTTACAAAATGCAGTTAGTGTAATAGAACAAGCTTGTCACTTGATTAACCAGGTCACGAGTCCAAAAACACTCATGTGGTTACAGTAATTAAACAAATAATTAAAAACAGACCATGTTTATTATATTTATATATTTTTATACATGTGCTTTGCCTCTTAATATGTCCATTGTGAATGGTCTACCTTTCATATTTATTGTCTGTCGCCAAAACTTAAAGATAAAAACTGTTTTTACTTGTGTCTTTGTGGGTTATTTGATTTTAAACTTTGCTATTAACTAGAGTCAACTGTCTTTTAGCTAAATATCACAAACAATATGAATGAAACTCGTAACCTTTGGGTCTACATCTTTGAAGTCAACCCAATTCAAGATGGCTGCCACAGCCAACACAGAAATGGTTATAACTTGAGACAATTTTACAGATATTGAGCTAAAGTTTGGTGTGGTCGAGGGGTTAGGGTAAATCCTGAATGTACTTCATTGAAACGCTTAAAAAGTTGCAACAATGCAATATTTCCCCCTCAAAGTCCCTTTGTGCCACACTATTTGTACAGTTTGTTGATTGCCTATGTATAAATACAGGTATTCACTTGGGAAAATGGGTTTCTTAACTTTATTTATTTATATGTTAACTCTTCCGTCAACTTTAATGTGGCCCAAACCGCAACATGTACTTATATCAAAACGACCGACTCGGCCCCGTGATCTGTGTTATTACTTTTACTGGCAATCGGAGTTACCATGGTGATGTATTTTGCTAACAAAGATGCCATAATTCTCCATAGGAAATGAATGAAGGAACTCTCCTCACACTTCATGCTGCTGTCAAGTCACATGACTGAGAGAGGTCCCTGAAGAAAACAGAAACGCACTGTTGGATTTGTTTGAAACTCACAGAAAGTATAATCATCAGAGAAATGTCTAGAACTGATTAATGTTTGGAGCCATTTTGATTCAAGATGGCTGCCACAGCTAACTTCGCAAACACAAAATTGACTGTAAGTCGGTCATTCTTTGAGATATTGAGCTGAAATTTAGTATGATTGTAGCTGGGAACGAGTTGTTATACATTCCTAATGCAAATGAAAAATCCAAGATGGCCACCTTAGCTAAAAGAGAAAAAATATGATAACTCAGCCATTTTTAGTGATACTGAGCTGAACTTGGTATGGTGATAGATGAGAATGGTTACTATAAAATACTGAATCAAAATCCAAGATGGTCACCAAAGCTCCTTTTAAATGGCTTTAATTCAGCCATTTTTACACATACAGAGCTGAAATTTGGTGACTTTATAGCTGACAACGTTCCCTACCACACACTGAATCCAAATCAAAAATCAAACATGGCTGCTTTAGCTAAAAAGGAAAAAAAAATATGATAACTCTGCCATTTTTTGAGCTATTCAGCTGAAATTTGGTATAATGGTAGCTGAGAGCGAACCCCAACACATAGTACTGTCAAATCAATTTTTTTTCATGGACAGCAGCCTGGCAGTCCTCGTCAAAGTTTCTCCAGGAACTTTCTAGTTTTGTTTAAACTTTAGTTAACTTTTATTTGTTTGGTGTTTTAAAGATTTTATTGTTGAACTACTTTCATTGCATACTGTAAGTTTTGACTAAAATGACCCAAGTCATCCATTAAAAGCTCAGCTCAGATTTTCTTGGAGATCCCACCTGACACAGTGATGTGGCTCTGGGAACGTCGAATTGGCTTGCGTGGTTTGCTCAGCGCCATCAGAGCTTCTGTTTTAGGCGAGTGTTTCTCAGCTTTCCCGTCACCAGCTGACAACGTCCTCACCCGGCCTCGCCCTCCAATGTCCTTTGGCCCCTCTCCTTTCCCACGTATGACCGTGTCCTTCAGCAGCACCGTTTCCCCCACTGCCCGCCTGGTTTCTGCGATGACCAGCCCATCAGAGTCAGGCCTGTTAGGCGAAGGGTAATCCAGGTGGTTAGGAGCTTGAGGGTCAGTCTGTATGGCGGTGTCAGCGGTTCGCTCGGAGCTGCTCGGACGTCTATAACGGTCCTCTGTGGAAATGGCAATGTCTACCATCTCAGAGCCGAAGACTGGAGGGAAAAAAACCTGGGAAAGTCCACTGAGTGAGCTGAGGGGTGTGCTGGAGGACAGCGAGGACACGGAGGAGTAGGAGTCTGAACTATGTGAAGATGGTGCCGGGCCACCGTTGGCTACTGTGGAAAACAGACACAAGCATCCAGGATTAGAGTAAGAAAGTGCACAAATGCAAATTGATAGTTTCCTAGATTACACCAATCCAAACCTGACCTTATGTTCTTATGATTCTGTAAGTTTTAGAAAAAAAAAACATGAAGCTGGAGTTCCTTTTATCATAATAAAATACGTTCATCTATTTGTTGAATCAGATGCAAGAACAGGCTTTGTTCTAACAGACTAAGCTGCCTTTGAGACAATTTTAATCAAAATAATCTGACTTTGACTCAAACCACACAGGAACTAAAGTAATGTTCACTCTTTTAAGAAAATAAAAAGGAGGGATTTAGTCTGCTTCGTGTGGCTGGCCCATCAAAATAAACTCAAAAACAATCAAATAAATAAGATGAGAATGGAATAAGCTCAAATCATTGAATCAAGTTTTTAGCATTTAGTTTTGTAACAGTAAATTCATTTTTTACATCACTGTGTAAAACACTACGTCTTTAAAAACAACTATTTGTGTCTGTCATCTAAATTAATTTCAATAAATTCATACAAAAACAACTTATTGAACAAACGTTTAAAAAATGTGGGAAAGGTTTGGCACAATTATTTGTCTTTTTTATTCATGTTGAAGCAGTTAAATTATTCTGGACTTGGGTAAAGTGATCTTTAAAATATATTTTTGACATTATGAAAATAGGCAGGATTGTGTTAAAAAATCATTATGTTTATATATTTTTTTCATTTGCCAGCTTTTAAGTGTTAGATTTACACATAACCAACAATAACAGATCATTTAACAAACTAAACTTATGGTTATATTTCTTTAAGTCAATGAAATGTGTTGTTTTGTGTTCGTTTTCCAGCGATCAGCGTACATTTGTCCAGCCAGCCATACTCTGCCACCATCTCTTTGTACGCAGGGTATCTTCCAGCTTCCTGTTGAAATTAAAAGAATAAAACGTCATACATATTCCAGCAAGAATAAAAATGAGCAATGTGGTGATATTATGCCCCTTTTCCACCGCTCCTACTCAACCCTGCCCAGATCAACTCTTTACACGTTGCATTTCCAGCGCAATTCAGGACCGGTTCTGGAGGCGTGTCCAGAATCCAAAATCCTGCTAATGAACTTTTAATGAACTCTAGTTCACCGAGTGAGAGTTCTGCAACGAGTTAAACTCAAAGCAGTCTGCTTCTCAGATAAATAATGTTAAATTATTATTTTTAAATAGGAATGTTTCTGTTAATGAATATTTCTGTTCATTGCCCCGATGAACCAGATTCTACAAAAACAACTATATTTAAAATTCTTTATTTTTCTTCATCATTTGATGTATTTGCACTCGTGTCTACTTTTATTGTTCAATTTAGATTTTGTTTCTTATATACAGGTTTTATTTTAGCTTTGATTTAAAATGTAATTCTTGTTTTGTGATTTGTACATCTGTGGGTTAGAAAAAAGTTGAACCAAAGGCTGTATCTATTCTTTAAAAATATTTGAGGGAAATATTCCTGAGAGATCCAATAATTTTGTCTTTTTATGATTTTTCAGCTGAGTTAACTTTAATTAACAGATTATTTAATAAAGTCAAAGTGAAAACAGGATTTCACGATAAAGCCGGCACCATTTATTTATTTTTAATCTTCACTGATTAAAAAAAAAACATTTTTTTTTTTTATATACATAAAATGTTTTTTTTTTTAATGTTCCAACCTCCATCCCAGTACATCCGTCTGCAGGGCTCAGAATCCGGCCTTTGTGAACATGCGAGGCCGGCCTCGCATGTTTCAACGGGTCGACAGCTCGTAGGATCCTCCGCAGTGACTAGCTCACTCTGAATTTTGTCGTCGGTCACCAAACACAAAATCGCCTGGACTTCAGCATTAAACACCGTGTTGTCATTACTGTTTTTAAAATCTTAAAAATAGACCCAGCGGCTGCTCTGAGTTCAGAGTAATTGCAAATGGTGGAACGGTGAAAAGTTTTTGAGATCCAGTGACTCCTCCCCCTGACCAATCAGTGACCGACAGTGTTCTGACGTCACGTTTAGGTGCCGACTCAGCTCGAACGGTCCCACCAGAGAAGCAGGGACAAAAAATGGGGCTGAATCAGCTAAAAAGTACTGGTGGAAAAGCGCTCAAACTGTAGCCAGCTGAGCAGAGTTGGGGCTGAGTGGTGGAAAAAGGGCATTAGAAAACAAGATCCTAGAACAGTCAGGAGGTTTTCTTAAGTATATGCCCGCACACTTGAGCTTAGCTACATGAAAACAGTACCACAGAAGAATATACTTATAAAGTTTTAGGATTAATTTTTTGGATCTCACAATTGTGCCAAAAATATCTTCGATTAAACTCAGAAGAAAGGATATATGTGTGAATAATAATGTGCCTCAACATGACACCACTTGCATTCAGCGTGATAACCCTGGGGGTTTATTTCTAAGCCTTGCACGTCCAGGTGTGAGAGAGTTTAATAACGAAGGTTAATCCCTGCTCCACTATACATGTCTCTAATCTATAAGTGGGTCAAACACAGGACACAGTGAAGTCATAAAATTAGGCTTTCTGTTGATTATAACCTGATCCCAGCCTGCCTTTAAATAATGAATGTGGCTGTTTTTTCACACGTGGAACCTGAGATCAGCGCAGTAAAATGAGCCACACACTCATACACACATCTACACATGATTCCTTTATCTGGAAATGACACGAGTTAAGTGGCGTGGTCTTACAGACAGGCAGGCAAACACAGATACTTACAGGGAAACTGAAGGACTGGGAACCAGCTGTCTTATTCAGAGTGGTGTTGGTTAACATTTATGAAGTATCTGCACTCAAAGCTCTAATCAGCTGGTAAATTTAAACCAAATAATTTATATAGAGACAAATATTGGTTAAGCCTTTACTGAGTTGATACTTATTTATTTTACAAGTTAAAATATCTGCTTGATAAAATAATTTGATTCTATTCCTGGTTGTGTTTTACATCCATCCATGCATTTGTTATTTTTATCCCATTCTTCTTTTTCTCGTGGAGGTAACTGGTGCCCATATTCAGCAGTCAGTGTTCAAGAGGCGGGGTACAGCCTGGACAAGTTACAAGTCCACCATAACATCATTTTACACCCATTACATTCAAAACCATAGGAATCACATTCGCCCTCAGCAGTAGACATTAAACATCCCCTTGTTTTTACCTCATAGAACATCATAAATCTCATATTGTTGGGGTGCTTTAACTGAAAACTGCCTGTTTTCTCAATGAATTCAATTCAGTAAAGTTGGAACAGGGGTCTTTGTCACCAGTTTCTAGTCAGTTTTTGTTGCTGAGCAACTACATGTGATGCAACAGTGCTTAAACAAGCTGTACGCTAACGTTGCCCTAAGGCTTTGAAAAGAGAATGTTTGCAGTTTTCCAGATGAGTCACAAAAAGGGTTAAATCATGTCATCTGGACAGTTTCTTTTCAGATAAGTGTTTTTCTGAACTGGCGGTTCAGCAATTTTATCCAACGCCAGGTGCAATGGTGGAGCCAAGGGGTGACCAATGGTGGCCTTGGCAACATTTTCATCCACCCCACTGGCCACCCCAATAATATGAGGAAACTATATTTTAAGAATATATAAACTAGAAAGCTTAATAAATAAATAAAAAAGGTTGTAAGCTCAATCATCAAGGTAGATTACAACAAAAAAAAGGTTAAATTGTGTAATCTGGACCAGTTTCCTTAAGTGAGAAACATTTAGTGCCCCATCCAGAGGACTTCGTCAGTCTACGGCCTGCCAACCAGATCTGTCCCATAGCTAGCCTTCACTGCTGTGTTTCAAGCCAACCTCCTGTTGGAATCTCAGAAGCAGGCTTTTAACACTTGCAAACAGGGCACACTCGTCCAAAACAACAAGTCATCACGTACAACAATCAAATGTTTTAGGCCAGAAGGCCAACTTGCTACTCACAGAAACAGCCTGAGGTCAACCAAGGCCAAAGTGGTTCATAGAAAGCATAAAACATATGAAACTAGAAAGCATAGTTTCTTTAAATCTGGGGTGTTCAAATGGCAGCACGTGGACCACTTCTGCCCCATGGGTGACTTCAATCTGGCCCATTTCATTAAAAATAATAATAATAATAATAATAATAATAATAATAATAATAATACTTTTTTTTTTGGTTCTGGGTTTTGGGTTCTGTTTATTGCATTTGTTATTCAATACAATAAAATAAACAAAATTAAAAAGGTAACAGATCATTGTAAATTTTGGTTTATGATTAAAATAAATAAATAAATATACATACACTGTATATATATTGGGCAGCACGGTGGCGCAACTAGTAGAGCTGCTGTCTCTCAGCGAGCAGGTCCTTGGTTCAAACCCCGGTCCAGGGGCCTTCTGGGTGGAGTTTGCATGTTCTCTCCGTGCATGCGTGGGTTTTCTCCGGGTGCTCCGGTTTCCTCCCACAGACCAAAAACATGCATGTTAGGCTGATTGGTAACTCTAAATTGTCCCTAGGTGTGAGAGAGAGAGTGAATGGTTGTTTGTCTCGTTTGTCTCTATGTGGCCCTGTGATGGACTTGCGACCTGTCCAGGGTGTACCCCGCCCCTCGCACAGTGATTGTTGGACATGGGCACCAGCGACCCCCGTGACCCAAAATGGAATAAGCGGGTAAAGATAATGGATGGATGGATGTATATATATTTATTTATTTATTTATTGTTACAGGGCAACTCATTTTTAGATAATGACTCTTCTAGATGGGGTCACTCACCAAGCTGGAAATCAGTACTTCATTTATTTTTCAAATTATCCAGCTCACAAGACAGACAGACAGACAGGTGGACAGACAGATAGATGAAGAGACAGGCAGATGGACGGAGGATTTTTACGAGTCCCCTCTTTGCAAGGTGATGTGGTACACAAACAAAATACCTTTGCAAACTTTAATTACACCCATTTTAACCGTTATGATACAAAACCACACATTTGTACGGCTTTAAATTTGACACTGAGGTAACATGGAAGATCTTCGCTCACCCTGATGGTCAGCATGACATGGGTGTGACTCTTCAGGACCTCCACTGCATTGCTGTGGGTGATGTCTTCAAAGCTCACCCCGTTGGCTGCAAGTATTTGATCCCCCATTTTGATGCCGTGTTGTTCTGCAAGCCCACCTGGGTCCAGCCTAGAGGAGACGTATACAGATGTTCAGACGTTCACAGACAAATCCACACAGGGGATATCTGTTGCAGTTCAGATGAAATGTGTTGTAATAACAGTCATGCCTCCAGGAGTTTATAAAACTCCACTAATTTAGTTTATCTGCTTCAAACTCCCCGTTCGAAAGTGAAACGAGCAATAGACAAAGGTGCTTCAACTCTCATGTCTGTGTTCATACTTGGAGACATAAATGCCAAGTCCAAACTCTTTGCCTCCTCTGATGTTGAAGCCCAGACAGTAGTCGTCCGACGTGGTGAAGAGGTGGATGATCCTACGGAGAGCGAAGTCCGAGCTGGCCTCTGACGGTGTCCGGCCGCTCTCCTCCACCACCATCCGCCGGTGAATTAGATCCACCCTGCACACATGCGCAAAAGACATTTCACCGCTGCACCTTTTAACTGAAGTCAAATCTGTCAGTATTGGTTAATGAGAAATACTATAAAGGTCACAGCAGTAATCCATCCACCGCTGCCACATGAAACCAAGATACGGTAAGAAGAGAGACAACCTGCAGGAGCTCCAGGTTTTAAGCTCACAAAGAACTAGAATAACAATATGATCATACGCTGTTAATTTAGAGCAAATGTTCAACGTAAACACGTTTTTATCAACCGAGCTGCCTCTTCTCACCACGTCGTCTTCTCCTTTGAGTAGCGGATGCCGGGGATCTTCCCCACTCGTCTCACCACCATCCTCAGCCTGTTGTTGCCCGTCAGGACCTTCACGGCGCTGCTCATGGTGATGCTCTCCAGGCTGACCCCGTTCACCTCCACCAGCTTATCGCCCACCGTCAGCCCCGCCTGCGCTGCGGGCGCAGACACAAGTCAGCACGACAAACGAGAGCAAAGGTCACATGTAAACAAAGCGCAGCGTGCGCTTTTGCCTCTCCTTACCTGCAGAGCTGTCGTCCTCAACCTTGCTGACAAATATGCCGAGCCCATGTTCAGAACCCCCGCGGACACTGAAACCAAGACGCCCGTCTGGACTCTTATCCACGGTCACTGTGTGGATGTCTTCACTGTCATCCCCTCCTGGAAACACACAAAACATGACACACTGTTACGTATCATTTAATACAAGTACTGATGGATTATTAAAGTGTTTTTGTTATTAATTAGAGGTTTTTTATCTTTAATATGACAGAATATGCCCATCAAAAGTTCTCAGTCCAATGTGGCAAAGAAATAGAAAGTCCTACAAATGTTTTTATTTACTATTGTTTTCTTCTGTAGACACCTGCGAAAGCAACAATTCTTACATTTTATGTACCGTAGTTGTATTTTAGTGTTTGTCCTAAAGTAAAGACAAGACATATGTCAATAATTAAAATTATGGCATAATAATTCCTCTAACAAATTTGGAGCTGGATCACTGTGAACCAAACTTGAACTGATTTTAAGCTGACTGTGCTGAATATAAAATATGACACAAAAGTATTTTTTATATATATTTTGCCACCTAAATCTGCTTTTTAGTGTTCTTGACTGTTATTTATCCAGGTTATCTGAAGTTTGATGTTAATAATTCATAGGTTGGAGATAAGCAGCCTAACAGGCAAACAAACAAAAATATTTATCTGAAAACAGTCAATTACAGGCTGGAAATTGATTTTTTTTTTTAAGACAAACTCCAAGAAAAACCTTTGAAAGCTCTTATGAAACTTTAAAAAACTATCGATCAAGATCACTTTGAGGGATTAAAATAAAGTAGCTGCTTGGATGAAAGCAAAACTTTAGGGGTGATTTTAATGTTTTTACACAACAGATCAAGTGTGTTTTAGCAATTCTAAAACCTCACCATCAACATCTGCGTTGATGAGGATGACTCTGCCCATTGGCGAGGAGGACCTGCGTCTGTAGCGATGCTGTTTCTTCAGCATGTAGCGTGTGGTGCTTTGGGAACCCCCACCCTGCCCTCCGTTGTTGACGTGGGGGGGCCCGCCTCCATTTGTCATGTTTCTCCAGGAAGGAGGGTGGAAAGAGTCAGCCATGATGAAAGTCTGGACGCACTTCCCTCAGTCATCCAGGCGCAGGTATGTCTGGGTTCACCTGTCAGGACGGAGGAGGTGCAGCTAGGCTGATCAAATGGAGTTTATTGGACCTGCTGGACCAAACTGGTTTCCACTGGTGCACGTGATTTATAGAGTTATTAGTAGCAACACTAATCTGCTCTGAAATTGCTTGCAAACGACCAAAAGATGGCGAAAATGAGTCCTTCATGACCAAAACGTAGACACTCAGCTCGATCCCTGACATTTGGAGGTAAAAGAAGTAGACTCGATCCCTTCATTTTCTTTGAAAATTAAACCATCTCATCACAGCCTTATCTGCAAGAGCTCCATCTGAGAAGCTGCAGCTGTGTGTAGACGAGCTGGCAGAGCATGTCGGTTCCTCTGGGGTCATGTTTAATTAAATGGATATCAGCTGTGGAAAGAAAAAGAAAATGCTGTGATCAGAAGCTTCAGATGTTACAAATGAGATGTAAGAATTTACTAACCGTGGTAGTTTCTGGGCCCAAAACCTGAGATCTTAAACAAATCTAAAGAAATTAAATTTTCTGTGAAGTGTGGTGTGAACAATCTGCGCTGAATGACGGCTAAAGGTCGCTAAACATGAATTCAGCAACAGAATTGCCTTTTATGGATAAATAAAGTTGTCTGAATGTGAAGAATTAAAACTAAGTTGTTAAAGCTAAACAAATAAACTAAATGCTAACTAAAAGTCCAAAGTACAAACGTGCTAAGTAAAAGTAGCAAAACATTAGCTAAAAGCTTATAGTAGCAAAAGGCTAACTTAACACTAAATGTCTTAAAAAGGTAGCAAAATGGTAATAAGAACCTAAAATCAGCCAAAAGTTACCTGAAAGCTAAAAGTAACAATTGGATAAAAGTGGTCAAATGCAAGCTAAAATCTTAAAGTAGCAAACGGCTAGCTAAAAGCCAAAAATAGCTAAATACTAGCTAAAAGTAGCTAAATACTAGCTGAAAACACAAAAGAACAAAGCACAAGTTAATAAAAAGTTGAAAAGGCTATAGCTAACGTAACAAAATGTTAGCTTAAAGCGTAAAAGTATCAAAATAAGAAAAAGCAGCAAAATATTTGCTAAAAGTTCAAGTAACAAAAGACTAGTTTAACTCTAAACATGTCAAAAGGCCAACTTAAAGCTAAAGGTAGCTAAATGAAGAGCATAAAATATTAGTTACAAGCTAAACGTAACAAAAAGCTATATAGGAGGAGGGTAGCTAAAAGCATCAAAAGACAAGCTAGAGGCTAAAAGTAGCTAAACTGTAGTTAAAAGTAACACAAGGCTAGCTAACAGCTAAAAGTAGCCTTGAGCAGAGTTGAAGCAGGCAGGTTTCTAAGAGAGCAATTTATTTAGAATAAATTAAAAATAACTCTGTGTAATTTTATATGGGTAAAATATTTGCATTTAAAGTTAAATATTTTGAAAAATATAACGATTACCAAAAAAGATGGAGTATTAATCTCCAGGATGAGCTGAAGGTTTTGATATATACATTTTTAAAAATGACACAAAGTATGTAGAAGTAGCCTGGTAAGACTGCAAGAAGAGTAAGGAAAAGTAATAATACAATTCAACAGGTAAACTGCTGAAACAACCTTCCTTAATAAATTCACGCAGCATGTAAACATGTAAACAAGTCATGTTTATGAGTTCAGCACCATGGACAGAGACATCACAAGTGGCCTAATGTTCTGTTCTTATTTAAACACACTCCAAAGTTTGACAACTTGTAAACAAACTTGGCCATAAACTCTAACCTCCCATGTCATTAAACTTTAACTTGGGTCTGACTTTAAACTATCTGAGGCGTACAAAGCTACTGTTTAAAATAAAAATAGATGTTCAGCATTAAGAGGAGAAAGCATTACCTGCTGGGTCCGTGCTGGAGCTGCTTACTGCTCCTCCTCTCAGGCGCATTAATGGACTCCTTCGGTGCCACCTCCTTTCTTCTCCAGGTGACCATTATTGTGTTAAGAGATGAAAGCTCTTTATGGAAGCTCCTGCAGCTGGGCAGGGATGATTAAGCAACATAAGCTAATTGCATAAACATGATTAATGTATATTGTAGCTTGCTCTGTGCAATTCTAGTTAACAAAATGTTTTTTTAGACTTCATTTTCCGTATAAGTACAGGAAGGAGTACATGGATGAATAACAGCCCCACCCAGTGGCCAATGTTGCATTGTACTTATGTAGATCACAATTTAGAACATCTTTTTAAGAGGCTTTGCCACAATCTTTATTCTTGATGTCAATTAAAGTTCATTATTAGTCTTAAACATTATCATATTTTTGCTAAAAAAAAAAACTTGGACACGCCTAAATCTGACCATTTATAATTATTTCTACTTGCAAATTGTCGTGACGGTACAGAAAAGTTATTTACTTCGTTTTAAACAATAACCCAATTTGTAAACAATCGTATAAATCTTTGCAAACGTTTTGGCCCATGTTCAAGCTATTAAAAAAAGCTAAAAAATATTAACCAATCACGCGTCTCCATCCCTTCCACACCCACTTAGTTTTCTCACAATAAACTCCGCCTTCTCACAATAAACTCCGCCCAGACGTGCAGCTGCTTGGTAGTGCCTTTAAGTAACATCCAAAAACTTCGTTTTCTGACATTTAGCGATTCGGTTTATCAATATTGTCAGATTTGTAATCAAATTATTTATCGGATATTAGTATAATATACTTGTGTTTATTGCCTAATATGAAGAAACGATGTGTTACGCGGCAATATTTTTAAACCCTAAGTGCTTATGACTCTGTTTTTTTTTTCCCCCGAGTGGTATAACGTCTCTTTGTTGCTGCAGTAAATGCCAGGTTTTTTTTAATAAACGTCTGTGGACATAATGATAAATCGTTCCATGTTTATTTAATTGTCTTGGGTTATTTCAACCAACTATCCATTGATAAATGTATTTTACGACACTTTCATGAGTACCTTAATGCATCATAGGTCCACCAGCCGGCAGGAGCTGTGATATTGAGAGGTCATACATTTTCAAAACATCTAAGAAATTATAACAGGTATGTTTTGGTATTGACGTTGCGATTTTATCTGAACATTTTAAACCACATCCCGGTTAAGTCCACGTTTGCTTCGTCTCAAAATTCGCCCTCCTTAAGCTAACAGAGATGCTAGCATTAGCTTGTGTAAACCTTCTGTTCATCTGGCTAGCTAGCCGCTAGCTGGTTGGACATTGTTGTTAAACAATTTATTTAACTCATAAGCTGCCAACTGTTCTGTCTGTCTTTACATTAGAAGCAATGTGAATTTAATTTCGTTATGAAGTCCTGACATATTATTTCTGTACTCCAGTGTGTGTGTTTCGGTGGCACTGTTGGCTAACTTGTTAGCCGGATGGCTACATGCTGAGAGAAGTGTGACACGTTATTGTGACTCCTCCAGTCCCATCTGTCATGAATGTTTGTCTTTTTATTTCGTGATTGTGACGAGGAAAAAGCTCTTTGTAACTGCTCAACCACGATTGTTTTTTTAATTATAGGACACCATAATACACTGTTTATACCAGATCACAGCTCTGCCCTGTACCCTCAAGCTACATTTGTTGCTTGCAGATATTTTTTTCTTTATACTTATCCTGCAGTCACGACTGTCACAAGACAGTGTGGTACCTGTTTTGATGCATTCAATACTGTATTGATTTTTTTAAAATTATAGTGCAGTATGGAAAATAACAACATTATGAAACACTGTGTGTGTGACAGCAGATGTTTTAATGTGGCAGAGATGTGGGCTTAACTGCACCACCAGGGTTTTTAAGATGATTTATCTGTAAATCAAACAAAAAGCCTTCTCATTGCTGGGACTTGTTATTTTGTTTCTATGTTCGTTGATTAAACGATTCAACTTCAGATAGCGTTGCATTTTTAGTCTCAGTTTATATTTTCTTGTCTTGACACAATATCAAACATGTTATTTCCTTCAGGATCTGATATGTCTAAAGAGTTGTCCCTCAACATAAACATCAAGGAACCAAGATGGGACCAAGGCACTTTCATGGGGCGAGCCCAGCACTTCTTCATGGTCACAGATCCCAGAAACATCCTGCTGTCTTCTGAGACTTTAGAGGAGGCCAAAGGGATTGTGGAGAGCTACAGGTGATGAAAAACGGAGTCAGAAATGAAACTGACAAGCTGTTATGGCTTTAAATGATCAACTTATTACACATTTTTATATTACATTTGTTACAAAGACAAAAAGCACGAGTCAATTTTTTTTTTCTTAGGTTTGCTAGAATTCCCATTTATATACTCTCAACATTTTCAGAGCTGGGATTGTCAAACCTGGCTTGACCGAAGATGAACTCTGGAGAGCCAAGTACGTTTACGACTCTGCCTTCCACCCCGACACGGGAGAGAAGATGTTTGTGATCGGCCGGATGTCTGCTCAGGTGCCAATGAACATGTCCATCACAGGCTGCATGCTCACCTTCTACAGGTACAGCAGAGCTTCAACACGCATTCAAAGCCACACATTGTACAAATAATTTTGTTCAAAATGAAATAATCCCATTTTAATAAACAAGTTTTATAGTTTCTGTTTGACTGCTATGTAGACTGAAATACAGCGTACAGCAGAGTATTAAAATAGTTTAATCCCTGCACAGCTAAAATCCTCTTAAAGATAGAAAAATGTTGCCCTAACAGCTGAAAACTGATAACTCTCAACAACCATCCCCCTATTTAAAACACAGCAAGAAAGGAAAACATTTTAAAGGTTTTATATTTAAAAATAGATAGCTTGTCAAGAAATGTAATCAAATAATTTAATATAAACTGGATAACTACTTAGAGAAAAGATACAATACACATGTAAACAGAAAATAATTACTGTGTTTATGCAGAAATGCTCATTTTAAAATTAAGCGGGCTCAACAAAACGTTGTTTTAACCTTCTAGGACCTGACATCCACATACCATACCATACCATACCATTTTGTTTATAGAGCACTTAAAACAGCGACAAGGCCAAACAAAGTGCTGTACAGACAGAACAACAAGTAACACACAAAGCAAAATACAAAATGAAGTAAATCAGAATATAGACATAAAAATGATGCAGATAATGACGACAAACCAGTGTGGAGCATACAAGTTCAAAACACAGATCATCTGGTGTTGAAAGATACTGAATAGTAGTGGGTTTATAAACGGGACTTGAAAACCGAGAGGGAGGGGGCCTGTCTGACAAGCAGAGGTAACTCGTTCCAAACTCGGCGAAACTGTTCAGTAATTTGTAGACATACATGAGTATTTTGAACTGGATTCGAAAGTGAACCGGTAACCAGTGCAGTGAGGCCAAAACTGGTGTAATGTGCTCTCTTTTGCCTGTACTGGTTAAAAATCGGGCTGCTGTATTCTGGACCAGTTGTAGTCGTGCAATGGAGGTCTGACTGATACCAAACAGGAGTGAATTGCAGTAATCAAGCCTAGATGTAATGAATGCATGGATTACTGTCTCCAGGTTATTTTTGGACAATATGGGCTTCAGTTTAGACAGCAGCCTCAGTTGGAAGAAACATGATTTAACAATCATGTTTACGTGACTGTTAAGTTTCAGGGAAGGGTCCATTATCACTCCCAGATTAGTGACTCTTTGTTTTTCTGACAGTGTTAGAGTGGAAAGGTCGATGCAGTGGCTTGTGATCGTGTTATTGGGAGGGAACAACATGACTTCAGACTTCTTTTCATTGAAACTTAAGAAATTTAAAGCCATCCAGTCCCTGATGTCAGCCAGGCAGTCGAGCAGCGGTTGAATAGAGCATGTGCCATTGTGTCGTAAGTAAATTTGACAGTCATCGTCATATATGCAAGAGTTCGGGTCTTAGGAGGTTAATGACATTTATAAATGTCACTTTGGCCTAACTTTGACCTTGGTTGTCCTCAGACTGTTTCTGTGAGTAGCAAGTTGGTGATCTGTCCTTAAACATTTAATTGTTATATATGATGATTGTTTTGAATGGGTGTGCCCTGTTTGCATGTGCTAAAAGCCTGCTTCTGAGATTCCAACAAGAGGTTGGCTTGAAACACAGCAATGAAGGCTACTACCTATGGGACAGATCTGGTTAGCAAGCCACAGACTGACTAAGTCCTCTGGATGGGAGACGAAACGTTTCTCACTTAATGAAACTGGTCCACATGACATGATTTGCCATAATCTTCTTTGTTGACATTTATAAATGTTTTACAAATGGTACATGATTACAGATCATATTTTGTTTTTATATTTCCTAATTGTTTTCAAATCATGTAACATTCTCTCAAACATTTATACATTCATATTTTCAGCAACGTTTTTATTACATCTGAAGTTGTTGACGTTTCTTCTTATTACCACTAGAGGGTGTCAAAACCCACAAAAAGTCAAGTGAGGAAATAATTCAACCATGAAAGTTATTCTGTTAAAAAAATATATGAAAGTTATAATTATCTATCCATCCATCCATTATCTTTACCCGTTTATTCCATTTTGGGTCACGGGGGTCGCTGGTGCCCATGTCCAGCAATCACTGTGCGAGGGGCGGGGTACACCCTGGATGGGTCGCAAGTCCATCACAGGGACACATAGAGACAAACGAGACAAACAAACATTCACTCTCTCACTCACACCTAGGGACAATTTAGAGTTACCAATCAGCCTAACATGCATGTTTTTGGACTGTGGGAGGAAACCGGAGAACCCGGAGAAAACCCACGCATGCACGGAGAGAACATGCAAACTCCACCCAGAAAGGCCCCTGGACCGGGGTTTGAACCAAGGACCTGCTCGCTGAGAGGCAGCAGCTCTACCAGTTGTGCCACCGTGCTGCCAGTTATAATTATCTGATTAATGTAAATGAGCTTAACAGTTACCGCTTAATAATATGTAAAGCTGTCCTGTTGGAAACTTAAATGTAGTTGCTTGAATTAATATTATTATCATAAAATCTTAAATGCAAAGTTTATTGCAGAGAATCATTTGCAAACAATAACTTCTTGAAGTCTTGGACCCATTAAAATTATTTAATTTATTTGTTCTTCTCTGAGCCTTTGTTGCTGGTGTCTCTAGTGGTTTATGGCTCTTTTTTCTCCTTTTATTTCTTTTTCAAGTGAAAAATAACATAGTCAAGTTGAAATTAGATGAATGACTTGGCCGTTGCACAATATTTCACTTCCTTACCTTGAGGAACGTATTGCTATGCAGATTATAAATCATCTTGATATAATTTGATTTTGAGTAAAATTTAAACCCATGTGGCGTCTAATCTAACACGACTGCCACATAAATCTTGATCTTCATCTTGTGCACGGAAACTTTAAAAAAAGCAGAGTTCCTGGTAAATCATCGGCCGTTGCAGGCAGTGCTGCTGTGAAATATTAATTGAAAGCGCAGGCGGTGTGTATTCAAATTACAAACGTCAAAGTTGTAGATGGGGATTGTATTGACTTTGTGCGCTCTACTTTAGAGTATTTATTGTTTACTTCAAATGAACAGATTCATAAAATAAAACTTATAATTGTGAAGTCCCACTTTGTTTGATGTGCTGTTTTCTTGTTTTTGCAGGACTACTCCAGCAGTCGTGTTCTGGCAGTGGGTCAATCAGTCCTTCAATGCTATTGTGAATTACACCAATCGCAGTGGAGATGCTCCCATCACCGTGAAGTAGGGGGGACTTCTCACCTCACTTCAACTCTAAGTCATTCATGTCCCCCCCCTCTTAACTAGTGTCTTTGAGGAGGCTGTGGGAGCTGCTCTCCTCTCCCTCGCTGCGGTATTACGTTCCACCGTTTGGCATGTTTAGCCTCGTGTCGGCATGACCTCGTGCTGACATCTTTTACAAACTCCCTCCGATGTCAGGTCGGCATGCATTTGAGCACGGACTTCATTGTGTTGCAACAATGCATCAAATGTCTCCAGATATAAGAGCAGGGGGAGGGGGGTTAGCTTCCAAAACACAATTCAACATTTGCTGTAGTTTGTATTCAATGCAACTTATTATATAGTGGTACATTTTCTTTCTGCAGTGCTGTCTCTCGTGCAGGCTTCAATTTTATCACATAAATCAGCCATTTTTGATGTGCGACAGTCCTGAAAAAGGAAGTTGATGGTTATTGTGTAAACTTCACATGTCTCTTTGCAGCCAGCTCGGTGCAGCTTATGTTAGTGCTACTACAGGAGCTGTAGTCACTGCCCTGGGACTCAAGTCTTTAGCTAAGGTAGTGCACGTGGTTCACATGAATATTCAGATAAGATGATCTGAAACAGATACCCACTGGGGATTTGATGCCAGTTGTTCTGAGTGTGTCTCTGTTTTCCTGTCTTTGCAGTGCCTCCCCCCAATCATCAGTCGGTTTGTCCCGTTTGCTGCCGTCGCTGCTGCTAACTGTATTAATATTCCCCTTATGAGACAGAGGTGAGGCCAGTAACAAACAGAACGTGTAGGTGTCACATCTGACGGCTTATTTACAAGATGTTTCTGTTATTTTCTGTCAGGGAGTTCAAGTACGGTATCCCTGTGATGGATGAGAATGGAAACAGGTTAGGAGAGTCGGCCAACGCTGCTCAGCAAGCCATCAAGCAGGTGGTGGTGTCGAGAATCGGCATGGCAGTTCCTGCAATGGGTAATTTTAAAGTAGCTAAAGTCACTGTTTTTGTTACAGCAGGGAATAAACTTAGAACTTGTCTGGCCGTTGTTTGCTCATCAGTTCTGTTCAGGAATGATGGAATTAATTGGTTTAAAGTGACTCGATCCATTTCAGGCCAAATTTTGCGTTGCAATTCCTTATTTAATAAAACCTTTCAGTCATGAAACTCAGCAGATGCTCAGATCGACATCCAAAGCAGATCTTATTAACAAATCCAGACAGTTGTTCTCCTAATATTTGTTCCTGTTCACTGACATTTATCACTTGAAACGTGCATTTAAATATTTAGTCAGAGATTTTGGTCAGAATGCTTCAACGTCGGTTAGTAAATGAGAACCAGGCTGGCCTTTGGTTAAAACAGCCTCAACAGGTTTATTTTGCCTGTAGAAAGCAGCTGTTTTTGGGATATTTTAAACCGTTACGATCGTGGGTAACTTCTGACACAGATCGTAAACCTGTTCTGCCAGTTTTACATTTGGACCAAAGCAAAGTAAGCAGCCCATCACTTTCCTCCTGACTTGGTTTTATAGACTTACACAAACATCTGGAGTTAGAATAATCTGGTGACAAAATGATAGCCAATATAGCTTTTATCATCAGCACTGGCTTCACATCAAACGTCTATAAAAATTAATATGTAACTGTGCATGAGGGATACATTCATTTGTCTTGTGATATTTCCTTTTTGATTTAGGACCTTTGCTGACTTGTGTTTTTCTGTTTCACAGCCATTCCTCCTGTTATAATGAACGCTCTGGAGAAAAGAGCTTTCTTGAAGGTAAACACTGCGTTAACGAGTGCTTTTATTTGTTTTTAACAAGTTACTTAACCGTTTATTTCTGCTGTCCCTGATTTTTGTTTCTATGTAGCGGTTCCCAGTTCTAAACGCTCCTATACAAGTTGGGCTAGTCGGTCTATGGTACGTGAAATACACTTATCTAAAAATTTATTTTATTATTATCATATTGTGTTTATATTTAAAAGGGATGTCCTATTCTCTTTTGTAGCCTGGTGTTTGCAACTCCTTTGTGCTGCGCCCTGTTTCCTCAGAAAAGGTAACTTTCAGTCGCCCGTCGTCGCTCATGAAGAGTTATTGAACGTAAAGCGGTATCGCAGTAACGTCCGACTGTCTCTTTGTAGCTCCATGAACGTGAGCAGGCTGGAAGCAGATCTGCAGGAGAGGATACGGCAGACAAGTCCTCACACCACCACGGTGTACTTCAACAAGGGCCTGTAGGCGCAGCCACATCTCAAAGCACAAACATCCATTACACGCGCACTGACACACGTCTGTTTATCATGGGCACAACTGGGAGACAAAAGCTCAGTTTGTTTATGTTTTTGTGTGTACTGCTGTTTTTATTTGTTTTGGGCTGCTTTAAGTCAAACACTGGAAGTTGTTGATCATTTACAATTATTAATATTTATACTAGGGATGCACGATATTATCGGCATGGTATCGGTATCGGCCGATATTAGCGATAAAGTTAAATATCGGCCATTCCATCAAAATAACTCACCGA